GTCTCCCTCTCCTGTGATCTCTTAATCACTCTTTTTTTTCCCTTTTCATTACTACCCTACTCTTCCTTTTTCTTTCACCTATTTTCCCTTTGAAAATCATTCCCCCACTTGGCCTACAAGTGCCCTTTTCTTCTTTATTCAGATACCTTTCTAAGCTATTCTCCACCTTCTCCACCAAAATATATCCAGGATAGAATCACTAACAAAGTACTTGTCAAACTTCCACCATTCATCTTCACTCTTTTCTGACCTACATGTAAATTTAGATTTAATATGAGATCTAAAAGTAAAGGCAATGCTAATTCAATTCTCTGTTTTATAGAATTCTGTAGACAGTGGCATGATTTTCTTTTAACTCTTTGTAATCTCTTCTTTTGCTCATACTGTTTTCTGAAAATTCTATTCAGGAAAACTTGAGCTGAGATGATTCAAATCTCAATAGCTCCCTTTCGTTCCCTTCCTTCCTCATGGCAGGTTACAAAGATTACACACCGCTCACTACCTCCTGTAGAGCTACCTACCTTTCTGCTGACACCTCTCTCAGTGTTACAGACACATCCTGCTCCTGTTTACACCATCTCCTCTGCCCTCCTTCCCCTAGCCTTGCTGGTCCTTGACCATTTGCTAACAGCCAGTTTCCAGCCCCCTCTTGCACAAGGTCTTCCCAGAGACCACTCCAGGGTAAAGAAGTTTCTCCTCTTCCCACTCCAATAACACTCACTCCTCTTGTATGGCTCATATGAACCTCAAACACATATTGCGCAGGTACTAAAATGTTGTTTTTGTTCATCCCTAACTTTTCAGTTGTCTAGATAGATTTTCTTCCTAATTAGTTCTTCCAAATTATTTCTGGTTAACTATATGGGGACTTTAATCAATATAGATCATCTTATACTTCTTTAAAATCCAAAGTCTGCCTTTTAAACCAAGGAACAAGCCGGTTCTAAAGACTAGCACTGAAGATCGTCTCAGTGCCCTCATCTACTGAGAAGGATGGAAGGAAGTCAACTCTGACATAGTGTGTAAGTTTCGGACAACAGTGAGAGTTGCCTATGTAAGGTTCTTCAATCTGATTATTCAGACATAGTTTAAGGTAAAAGTTGCCTATGTAAGGTCCTTAATCTGATTACTCATACAATAGTGGAAGTTGCCTATGTAAGGTCCTTGATTATTCAGATAATAGTGAAAGTTGCTTATGTAAGATCCTTTAACCTGATTACTCAGACAATAGTGAAAGTTGTCTATGTAAGGTCCTTTAACCTGATTGATTACCTAATTTTCAGACTAGGGACCAAGGATTTTCAAATCAAGTCACCCTAACATAAAAAACTGGGAAATTACTTAAAGCTACACCATCAGCAAGGAAGCCTGAAAACTACCTACCTCTAATATCAAACACGCAGCCATGACAGAAGAGAGCTCACAGAACAAACACCTTTCATCAGACCCCTGGCCACTCTCCTCCAAGAGCCTTCCCTCACTCTTTTCCCCTTACCTACTAGCTTTCGTCACCCCTTCAAGGCCTGGCTTGGCCCTGAAATGCCAGGAAACGATCTTTAAGGCATCCATGCCACCCAGTCTCTCTCAGGACACTGTTGTTTGAACAAAGCACATTTAAAAGATTCAATCTTTTTCTTTACTCAATTGGCTTATAATGACAGGCAGTTAAACACCGCCTTTTTCTGGTTGCAAGATGATTAGCAAAAGGAATTGCAGAGTAAAGCCAAAAGGATAAGGAAAGTCCTCGAAAACTCCCCAATACAGCTGCTCTTAGTCATTCTCAAGTTGTTTTATTCATTTATCCACATGACTCTTTGAAGCACAGCATATCCTAGGCACTGGCCTCCAGGAACTCACAGTCTCCTAAAAGAATAGAATAGCAATACCACTTGTTCTGGAAGCATCAAGTAGCTGTAGAAGAGTTTTGGAAGTGCCAAGAAAGCTGTGCACAGCGATTCCACCAGAGTGACCAATGGGAGGCTCTGCCCAATATGGGAGTGACCCACTGGCCCAGTCAGACTCTTTGTAAGATATCAAAATTATAAAGGGCACACTAAATCAGAAGAGGTAAAATAGAGGTGGTGCCCTGGTAGTGAAATGATGAGTACTCGGCTGCCAACAGAAAAGCCAGTGGTTTCAGTCCACCAGCAATGCTGTTGTTGTTGTTGTTATGTGCCACTGAGGTGCTTGTGACTCATAGCGACCCTATGTACAACAGCCCTGAAACCTGCTCTAACCTGTCCCAATCTGACACACCTACCCTCATTACTCCAGTTACTGAACCAATTCATCTCACTGAAGATCTTCCCTTCCTGTACTGTCCCTCTACCCTCCCAAGAATGACGTCCCTCTCCAAGGACTGGTCCTGCCTTGCAACATGCCCAAAGTGTGTCAGAAGAAGCTTCAGAATCCTTGCCTTCAAAGAGCAACCTGGTCTCACCCTCTCTAGGACGAACCTGTTTGTTTTTCTGGCACTCTATAGTATATTCAGTACTCTTCTCCAGCACTACAGCTCAAAGGCATCTCTTCTCTTTCTATAATCCCTAGTCATTGTTCAGCTTTCTGATGTATAGCAAGTAATTGTGAAAACATGGCCTGATCAGGCGCACCTATTCTCCAGACTGACACTGCTGCTCTTCAGTACTCTGGAGAGGTCCATGTCAGCAGACTTTCCCCATACAATTCATTTTTTATTTCCTGGCTGCTGGTACCAAGAGTGTTGACTGTGGAGCCAAGTAAACTGACGAGGTTAATAATCTCAATCACAACACAAAACTTAGGGATCTGCTCTACAAAAGTTATAGCCCAGCAACCTTTGTAAGGCATTCTGCCACAGAGGGTTTCTAGGAGTCGGAATGAACTCAACAGCACACTGACAAAGCAGGTGTCATCATGGTGGTCACAGGGAGAGCAAGAGACATTGGTCCCTGGAGGGAGAACCTGACAACCTTAACTGTGGTGAAACACCAGTGCTGTCGTTGCTCCTACATGTCATCAGATGAAAAAAAAAAGAGTTAGGATGTAAGTGGCCCTGCCTCCATGCCTTGACTATTAGAAATGATATTTCTTTCCTCCATCATTTTCCTTTTTTAATTTCCCTTTTGGAAAATGAAACCACCTGGACTATTTTTAAAAGCATTCTGTGCTAAAAACCGGGTGGCTGGTGATGATAGTAATCAAGACTTAACATAGTTGACCACTCTGTCTTTCACCAAACACCTGCTTTTCCTTCTTACCCACCCCCACTGGCCAGTCAACACTGGG